ATCTATCTATCTATCTATCTATCTATCTATCTATCTATCTATCTATCTATCTATCTATCTATCTATCTATCTACCCATCTATCTATCTACCCATCTATCTATCTATCTATCTATCTACCTATCTATCTATCTATCTATCTATCTATCTATCTATCTATCTATCTATCTATCTATCTATCTATCTATCTACCCATCTATCTATCTACCCATCTATCTATCTATCTATCTATCTATCTATCTATCTATCTATCTATCTATCTATCTATCTATCTATCTATCTATCTATCATCTATATAAGTCAAATTTGTATATTATCTATTTTTCCTGTTATTTAATTATTAATAGACGGATCCTTTGCAATGTGTTTATTTGTCTTGGTGTTATTAACTCGCCCTAAAACTGGCGGTTGGACATGCAGGTGTCACATGACTTCCTTCAGGGGCCCATGGCAGCCATTTTTTTTATAATGGTTGGGGCATGAAGGCTCCATTATCACTCTCGGTATATTATATTCATTCCGCCACATAGTTAAAGTGGAAAAGTAAACAAGATAAAGGGAAGGGATACATTTGCATGGCGCTGTCCATGGTCCTGTTGGGTTGATTCACCTTCTCTCTCTACTGGTCCCGGTGAGCGTGCCAAACATGAGGGGAAATGGAAAACATTTTCTTTGGAGACATTTTATCTCACTTCCTGTCGTGCCGACATAACAGGACAGGAAGTGAAAGGGAATCTCCCCAATAGGACAATTCCAAATTGGGGAGGAAAGGCCTGATAGAGGTATTACCCCTTTCACACTCTGTTGGTTTGGTCTCTGATGTCCTTTATATCTGATTACACTGCATTAGTATGACAGATTTGACTTAATGATGATACATTTATTATTTTGTGATCTTTAAAAGGAGAACTATGAGGTTAAGTCTTTTCCCCGTAGTTCTCCTTAGGGTAACGGGAGGACACAAACTAGCGTCCTCCCGTCACCCTAGGCTCAGTATATAGGGAGCTACAGCTCGCGGTATACTGAGACGCCGCAGCTGGAACGGATCCCGACATCAATGTTTGAGATCCGCCCAGCTGCGTGACTGACAGCTGGCTCTGCCTATCTAGAGGCAGAGCCAGCTGTACCCGCCCCCTCCCCCGTCCATTCCGCCAGTCAGCGCAGGAGGATCGGAACGGGGAGGGTGGAATCCAGCCCCTCCCCTGTCACGGCAGAGAGCCGTGACAGGATCGAGAGGTGAGCGAACGCTGGTATGTGTTCGCTCACCTCCCGATCGACTGAGCCGACCTGTGACAGTCTCATTGTCACAGGTCGGCTAGAACTATGAGGTGAGTGGAAATCACTCATCTCATAGTTCTCCTTTAAAGAGAGTGAAAGGCTTTGATGTATTGCCTGCATCATTGTAACACTTTACAACCGGCCATATCATGCCGTAGGACAATGGTTCTCAACCTGTGTAACCTCAACACCCACATTTCTCCTCGGTCATTAAGTCGTGACCCAAGTCGCACTGCAATGGAACGCAGTGCGGGCTGCTGTGCTGTGGTGGAGCTCCCTCCGTATGCGCGCCCACTTATGCTGGCTCCTGGCACCTCTACAGGACACATGAGGGAGCTGTAAGCAATGCATGTATGGATGGAGTTCCCTCGTGGCCATACCCCCAGCCCACCCCACCTCAAGCTGACACTCGGCGCCGGGAGGCATATTTTGAATGGCTGCTTGGCGTGAGAACTGACAGCGCTGCGCTAGGGGGAGGCTGAAGAGCCTCTCACCTAGAAAAGTGGAAGGCACGCGGGGACCCATTGAACACGGGGTCGTGACCCACTTTTGGGTCACGGCCCACCAGTTGAGAACCAAGGCTGTAGAACACAATGGATACATCAAAACTTGTTACAGTATAAAGGTTCAAGGTGTAGCCGGTCATAGGTGATTACGCAATTTAAGTTTCTCTGCCCTCCAGTAGGGGGGAGGGGGGGATAATAGTCTACTGAGTAATCAGTTTTGATTCGCTGTGTCTTCCACCTTTATACTGTAACAATCTCTTTATGTACCCATTGCGCCATTATTATATAACACATAGTTGTCAGTAAGGCAGAGTTTGCTCGATACCATATAGCAGGCGGTAAGTCAAATCCATAAGTCAGAGTTTCATTTGACACTATAGCGTGAGTCATGTGACCCCGGCATCCACAAGGCGTCCTAGGATTATGGGTATCGTAGATAAGAATGCCTAGTGTTCTGTTGGAGTCACGTGTGGGCCCTCATGCGTCACTTTGTATTCCGTTTCTAGGGCGTCGCTGTGGAGTTCCTGCGTGGTGCTGCCGCTGCTGGCGCTGACATGGATGTCCGCCGTCCTCGCCATTACGGACCGGCGCTCGGCCCTGTTTCAGATACTTTTTGCCGTCTTCGATTCGTTGGAGGGGTTCGTCATAGTTATGGTGCACTGCATCCTGCGGCGAGAGGTAAGAGAACATTTTCTGAATTTTCTTTGCTGGAAGGACTGCTTCAGGCCCATTTACGCTAGATGGACCTCAAGCAGATTTTCCCGGTGGTGGGCCTCAATCCCCCATATTGTAGTGTTCTGTGAATCTTTTCCCGGTGGTGGGCCCCAATCCCCCATATTGTAGTGTTCTGTTGATCATTTCCCGGTGGTGGCCCTCAATCCCCCATATTGTGGTGTTCTGTTGATCATTTCCCGGTGGTGGGCCCCAATCCCCCATATTGTAGTGTTCTGTTGATCATTTCCCGGTGGTGGCCCTCAATCCCCCATATTGTGGTGTTCTGTTGATCATTTCCCGGTGGTGGGCCCCAATCCCCCATATTGTAGTGTTCTGTGGATCCTTTCCCGGTGGTGGCTCTCAATCCCCCATATTGTAGTGTTCTGTGGATCCTTTCCCGGTGGTGGCTCTCAATCCACCATATTGTAGTGTTCTGTGGATCCTTTCCCGGTGGTGGGCCCCAATCCCTCATATTGTGGTGCTCTGTGGATCATTTCCCGGTGGTGGGCCTCTATCCTCCATATTGTAGTGTTCTGTGGATCATTTCCCGGTGGTGGGCCTCAATACCCCATATTGTAGTGTTCTGTGGATCATTTCCCAGTGGTGGCCCTCAATCCCCCATATTGTGGTGTTCTGTGGATCATTTCCCAGTGGTGGGCCTCAATCCCCCATATTGTAGTGTTCTGTGGATCCTTTTCCGGTGGTGGGCCTCAATCCCCCATATTGTAGTGTTCTGTGGATCCTTTTCCGGTGGTGGGCCTCTATCCTCCATATTGTAGTGTTCTGTGGATCCTTTTCCGGTGGTGGCCCTCAATCCCCCATATTGTGGTGTTCTGTGGATCATTTCCCGGTGGTGGGCCTCTATCCTCCATATTGTAGTGTGCTGTGGATCATTTCCTGCTGGTGGCCCTCAATCCCCCATATTGTGGTATGCTGTAAATCCTTTCCTGGTGGTGGCTCCTATATTCTGCTCTGCTGTAGATTGGTCTTCCAGGAGAGCCACAACAATGATGGTCTTTGCTGTCTCATCTTCCCGTCTAGGTGCAGGACGCTGTGAAGTGCCGAGTCGTTGACCGTCAAGAAGAAGGCAACGGCGACTCGGGCGGCTCCTTCCAGAACGGACACGCTCAACTGATGGTATTTATTAGTGTTATCACTGAGCCATTTTGTTTCTTTTTCAGATTTGTGGGAAGGCCCCGGGCCTACAGGAGCAACATTGTAATGGGTACCTCTTTATTCACTATGTTAGAGAAGAACTCCAGCCAATTGTTTTTGGACTTTTGGTAGAGTGTGTGTGTGTGTGGGAGGTGAAACCTCTTTGATTGTATTGCTGTTTATATCTGTGTGGTCACTGCGAGAGGAACTAAGGATAAATCTCTCAAGTAGGGACACAGAGATAAGGATCACACTGCACCAATCACACGGCATCACCAGAAATATATTATTAATAAGAACTCTGGCTTTTTCTTCAGTCTTCTATCTGACCTCCGTCCTTCCCTTTAGTCTTCTATCTGACCTCCGTCCTTCCCTTCAGTCTTCTATCTGACCTCCGTCCTCCCCTTCAGTCTTCTATCTGACCTCCGTCCTCCACTTCAGTCTTCTATCTGACCTCCGTTCTTCCCTTCAGTCTTCTATCTGACCTCCGTCCTCCCCTTCAGTCTTATATCTGACCTCCGTCCTTCCCTTTAGTCTTCTATCTGACCTCCGTTCTTCCCTTCAGTCTTCTATCTGACCTCCGTCCTTCCCTTCAGTCTTCTATCTGACCTCCGTCCTTCCCTTCAGTCTTCTATCTGTCCTCCGTCCTCCCCTTTAGTCTTCTATCTGTCCTCCGTCCTTCCCTTCAGTCTTCTATCTGTCCTCCGTCCTCCCCTTTAGTCTTCTATCTGTCCCCGCCCATTTCATTATTTGGATTTTGCTTCTGTCAATCCTGGAGGCTCACATGTGGGTGTTACTTAGACCGGTCTGCATGCAAATACAGCTTGCCTAGAAACACCTACTCCTCCGGACTGACATCCACCCACCAAGACATTTTGATATTTGCATAACTCCTCCCACTACCTACATCAGAGCTGAGGGCTCTTGAGAGGAGTACTGATTGCATAGAAAAGCACAGAGACTTAGTGATGACATCACTGGATATCAAATAAAGTATCTAATGGAAACTGAAAGGTTTTCTTAAAAAATTTGATTAACATATAAACAGCTGTGATCATCCCAATCCCCATCGGATCCCTCCTAGCCACAGCGGGCACATCTCTGATGGTGCATTGTAGAATAAGTGGTGAGTGCCATCAGTGGACAAGGGACGGCTGCGATTGGTTCTATGCACTCTGTAAAGCAGGGGTCTCAAACCTGCGGCCCTCCAGCTGTGGGTGAAACTACAAATCCCACGATGCATCTCTCTTCGGGAGTCATGTCTGCGGCTGTGAGAATCTTGCAATGCCTCATGGGATTTGCAGTTCCACCCCACAGCTGGAGGGCCGAAGGTTTTGAGACCCCTGCTGTACAGCAATACGAATATGAAAAAAATAATAATTCCCGAGCCATTGATTTATACATCGGTGACACCGCAAGAAGGAAGGCGACCTCTGGTGGCCAAAAATATAGAAACATCGAAATGAGTTCAGCTCTCTAGTGAAGAAATACGCAGGTTGTCATTGTCCCCAACTTCTGAGAATGCCAGTCGTCTGGTTTTCTTGGCCATCAGATCTTTCTGGATCAGGAACGTCACAATGAAGTCTCGTTCTGGATACCTATTCCGGGTTATTGTCTCGATTAAGAAGTCTCCGGATTAGGCAGGGCCAGATTTCCCACAAGGCCAACTAAGGCCCGGCCTTGGGGCAGCAGGGAGTAGAGGGGCAGCAGGGAGTAGAGGGGTAGCCAGGGGCGTATTTACCGCGAGGCAAACTAGGCTTTTGCCTAGGGCGGCACCTTCCTGGGGGGCGGCCGTAGTCAAACGCCTTGTTCAAACGCCTTGTTCAAACGCCGTAGTCAAACGCCTATGTTGTGAAGAGGAGGGGCGAGCCGGAGCCCGACGGATGGGATCGTGACTCAGAAAACGAAAAGCAGCCGGCGGCCAGTTAATCGATACTATCTTTACAGGGGGTGGTTGATAGTAAGGTGCCTGGCTTTGGCCAAGCTGAGCTAAATGTACAGCGGGGGAGGGGGGGGGGGGGGGGGAGG